ACCTTTTCTTGCTAATTAATTCTCCTGTTCTCCTTTAGGGTTTGGTCGCATTTTGCACAGTTGCCCGCCCAAAACTCCCTCGCTTGAGATCTATAAATAGTGATTTTTAATATTAGAAAAAGGAAGCATGGTTCTGTTTGTGATTAAAAGAGGTACGTGTGGACAATTCATTATTTCCACCTAGACGGAAGCAAAGAAAAGGTGCACTTTGATAAGATTACAAAGCGCATATTGCAGCTCTGTAATGGCCTTGACATTGATCGAATCGATCCTGTCCTTATAGCGCAAAAGGTTGGCAAATCTTCGAATACATCTTTTAGGTTGTKGCTGGCATTTATTCAAACGTAAAAACAACCGAGCTAGATAATCTTGCCGCCGAGACGGCTGCCTATATGACAACGATTCACCCGGATTATGCAACTCTGGCGAGCAGAATAGCAGTTAGTAACCTTCACAAAGAAACGAAGAGTACCTTTTCTGAAGTGATTAAGGATCTCTTTGACAATGTCAATGAAATCTCGGAAAAGCCCCAGCCCATGATTGCCGAAACGCTTTATCATGTTGTGATGGAAAACAGAGAAAGAATCGATGCTGCTATCGAAAATTCTCGAGATTTCGACTATCAGTATTTTGGATTTAAAACCCTTGAGCGTTCGTATCTGCTGAGAATCAGGGGCAAGGTTGTGGAGCGTCCCCAGTATCTGATCATGAGAGTTGCGCTTGGCATTCACGGTGAAGACGTCGACTCTGCCATCGAAACGTATAATTTGATGTCTCAGCGGATGTTCACCCATGCCTCCCCAACCCTTTTTAATGCCGGTACACCGCGGCCCCAGCTTTCATCCTGTTTTTTGATTGCAATGACTGACGATTCGATCACCGGAATATATGACACCCTGAAAACATGTGCATTGATTAGCAAGTCTGCCGGGGGTGTTGGTCTTCATATCCATAATATAAGAGCCTCTGGGTCTTATATTGCTGGAACAGGTGGCTACTCAAACGGTATAGTCCCCATGCTTCGTGTCTATAACATGACTGCACGATATGTCGATCAAGGCGGGAATAAACGACCTGGCGCCTTTGCAATTTATTTGGAGCCCTGGCACGCTGATGTTTTCGATTTCTTGGATTTAAAGAAAAATTTTGGAAAAGACGAGGGTCGGTGCAGGGATCTTTTTTATGCCCTATGGATACCCGATCTGTTCATGAAACGAGTGGAGCAAGATGGGATGTGGACTCTTTTCTGTCCAAATGACGCTCCAGGTTTGTCCGACTGTTGGGGACCGGAGTTTGAAGAGTTATATGCTTCATATGAGGCCAAAGGTCTTGGTCGTAAAACGATCCCTGCCCAAAAGCTCTGGTATGCCATTCTTGATGCGCAAGTGGAAACCGGAACGCCATACATGCTCTTTAAAGATTCTTGCAACGCAAAGTCTAATCAAAAAAACCTGGGGACCATCAAAAGCTCAAACTTGTGTACAGAAATCATCCAGTACTCATCAAAAGATGAGGTTTCCGTTTGTAACCTCGCTTCCATTGCACTTCCGATGTTTATCAAAAGCGACGGGTCTTTTGATTTTGATATGCTACATTATGTTGCCAAAGTGGTAACAAAAAATCTTAATAATATTATCGATGTCAACTTCTATCCTGTCGAGGAGGCTAGGCGATCAAATATGAGACATAGACCGATTGGAATTGGCGTCCAAGGTCTTGCAGATACGTTCTTACGATGCAAAATGCCTTTTGACAGCCCTCCAGCGCGAGAATTGAACATAAAGATATTTGAGACAATATACCATGCTGCTCTTGAGCAGTCGTGTGAGCTGGCTCAGCAAACTGGTACATACGAGTCTTACCAGGGAAGCCCCATTTCTCAGGGCATCTTTCAATTCGACATGTGGAATGTTGTGCCATCATCTTTATGGGATTGGGATTCCCTTCGTGCGAAGGTTGCCAAGTATGGCGTTAGGAACTCCTTGCTCCTAGCTCCGATGCCCACGGCCTCGACATCCCAAATATTAGGGTTCAACGAATGCTTTGAGGCCTACACGTCAAATATATATACAAGACGAGTGTTATCCGGCGAATTTCAAATTCTCAATCAATATCTCTTTAAGGATTTGATAAATCTAGGTTTGTGGGATGCGTCTATGCGAACCAGGATCATTGCAAACAATGGCTCAATTGCGAATATACCCGAGATTCCTGAAGACATAAGGCACCTTTATAGGACCGTGTGGGAAATTCCACAAAAGAGCATCATTGATATGGCCGTGGACCGAGGCGCCTTTATCGACCAAAGCCAGTCTCTCAATATTCACATTGCCGAGCCTTCCATCTCGAAGCTCACTTCTATGCATTTTTACTCGTGGAAAAAGGGGCTAAAGACCGGCATGTATTATCTGCGAACAAAGCCTGCAGCTGAAGCCATTAAATTTACCGTCGATCCTACTCTTGTCAAATCACTGGGCGATTTTACTTTGAGCCCCAAAAAAGAGCAACGCAGTGTGCCCCTGCCAGTACTTTCTGCAAGTTCAACTTGCGAAGACAGTCCATTTGTCGAGCCTGATAAGGACAAAATCCCAAGGAACTCGAAATCATATGATCCGGCTGCAGTTTTGGCCTGTTCTTTGGAAAACATGGATAGCTGCACCATGTGTTCTGGATGATACCCCCATTTAATTTGTAAATTCTAATAAAATTGCCTTATATATTGACCGAGGCTCCACTTAAAGGATGTGATCACCACATGAGTGTGCGATTTTCATATTTTATTGATGTCTATAGTCGTGTTTTGCAACCCATTGCTCGACATCATTACCAAGGACCTTTCTATTATCCACAAGTAGGCCATGTGTGTGTTCTTGCCTAGATTCAATGTAAAGGAAAATTCGGCAATCCTAGCCACTGCAGAAATGAAGGGGCTTCACGAGGCTGCCATCAAAACAGGGATATTAGTCCCCGGTGGATCTTCTCTGAATACGGCACGCTGTGCACAAGCCATTCTCCCGCCCAGGCAGGTTGTCTTCTTCGGGTCGATTGGAGGTGACCAATTTGGTGAAATCCTGCAGACGAAATGCAATGAAATCGGGCTTGGAACGGTCTTCCAAATAAGAGATGGCGAGAAAACCGGGACATGCATTGCCGTGTTAAACGGAGAACATAAGACCAGGTATTGTTTTTAACGCCAAACTGGCTGGTAGAACATTGGTTGCCGATCTCAATGCAGCTGTTAAGTATTGCTTTCACGATTTGTCAATCGATGAGGATTCCATTAACACCATAAAACACTCGAAAATAGCCTACGCCTCTGGGTTCTTTCTAAGCAGCTCCTTTGAAACGATATGTTACGTTGCATCCACGGCTAACGTATTGTACGCTTTTAACTTTAGACGTTTGCTTTAAACTTATCGGCAGAGTTTCTGATCTCTGACTATTTGGAAGAGTTTTTCGCCTTGTTTCCTCGCGTTAGAATTTTATTTGGAAACTATGACGAATTTTCGCATCTATTTAGAAAAATCATCGACAAAAAGGCCGAGTTAAATATACTCGAGGAAGAACATAACTTTCCGACAGTTGAGGGATGTACAGACGAACTGATGCCATCTCTTTTCCGGTTTTCTAAAAGATACCCAATTATGAACATTATCATCACAAATGGAACGTACCCTACAATACATGCCATCAATGGAAACATTCTCTCCCAAAATGTGCAATTGGTATCTCCAGAAGAGATTGCTGATTCGGTTGGTGCCGGTGATGCGTTTACTGCAGGATTTCTTGTCCGATACTTGACGGATCAGGACATATTTTCCTGTATCAAATTGGGGCATATATTGGCTGCCGAGATTTTAAAGCTATCCGGAGTCCCATTTAATCTTCCTTTCCACAATCCCGATATGGGCCCAATAAATGCCAAGTGAGGTACAGCGGATATTGAAATCGACCACCACCAATCAGGCTGAATATGCCCGCAAAATTGATTGGCTTTTGTACGCGATTTCCAATTGGTAAGCTCTAAATGCCATTGGTCAGTGGGGCCAAGTTTGAAACAGCCCACAGCTATATAAGTAACCTGCACACTAATAAACCCAAATACGGCAAGATGTATTTGTTTTCAGTATTCTCTTTAGAAATGCTCGTATAGATTTATGAATGTGCGTCTGTTTGGAAAGTCTTTTACGACATGTGCCTTTCTCAGCTCCTCGTAACAATACTATTATCACTAACACTACCACTGCCACTCATGTCTTATCCCCGAACATATTGGCCTAAATTAGGATATTTTTCTTCATTGACGTTTGAATTAATTTTTAGTACATGTCGGGGCTTCATAAACGCTCGTCTGCTGATGCGCCTATTCCGTGATATGATTGCTTGTCGTCGGGTCCTTCTTTCTCAAGTATTAAGTAGAGGAAATGATCTTTGTAATCGCCAACCCTAAGGCAGGTTAAAACCTTACGGTTCTTAATAAGGTGTACAACTGTATTTATAATAAGGGATACTACCTTGTATAGGTGTTAGGTTAGTGATCCGAGTACTCGAGTGTTCTACTTTCGGTGTGATTCCAAAACAAAACGCATACACCTCCCTGGAATCACAATACCGTCACCGTCCATCTGATGATGGGCGAGGGAGGCTGTTGGGGGCGTCAGTGTGGCTAGTGTATAGCCTAGCTGATATACCAAACAGCCTTCCTTGCAATTTTTGGCAACTCACAATAAAATTGGCCTCTCCTCATAACAAATTAATTGGGAATATGATGGCTCGATATGATGGCGACGATGGTCATGATCATCGTCATCGCTGCTTCGCTGAGAGACATTACCAATGAGCTTTGAGCCGATTGAAATTGGCGAATCAACTAGGAACGAGAGCAAAGACAAAGGCTTTGATAAAGGGGCAACAACATGCAAAAGGGTTCCATATGCGCCCAGAGTGGCTAATGGGACCCTTGGCAAAAGCGATGGGATAAAAGAACAATTGGGAACCTCGTATTGAAATACTGGTTGCGAAGAGCTTCTGGAATCAAATAAATACAGCTACAGAAAATGAAATAAAATAAAACTTGGCTTACTTGGTCATGCAGCGTTCCAATGACCAAGTTGAAATCAGAGGCGGTTGGCTTTAAAATGAAACTGATCCCTGCGTGAAGGGCAGTGGAAACAAACCCACCAGACCGACGTGGTTCTCTTAAATCAATCGAAAAAAGGTTGCCATTTCGAAGGCCAGCAAAGATCGTTTCGGAGCTTACAGAGCACAAGGACAGAACATCGGAGCAAGTATTTCCCAACTGCATGCCCCGAACAAACGTTGCTCGCTCAACATCTAAAACATGAATTCTCTTCCGATTTTTAATGTTCCCATCAGTGCCAGCCACCAATAGGGAAGAATTAGTAGAGATCGATGGAGTCGTGATACACCATACATTAGAAACATAAGATGGGAACCTGGTCCAGGAAATTTCTGAAAGCAAATTATTGGATATTGATCTAGAAAATATTCCGGGACCTTCTGTTGGATGATAACTTGTAACGCTTATACGGTCCTTCGAAGCCGAAAAGGCAAGGGAAGAAGAAGTTGTGAGATGCGTCGAAAAAGAGGAAAGATCCATAATCAAATTCCCGGAATACCGCTCGTCAAATTCAGAAGACTTGAGATTCTGATCCTCCTGGACAAATGGAAGCGAACATCCAAGAGAATAGATTTTTTGAGAAGATGAAACGGCATACCAACAATGAACATCATCGCCGACATCCTAGACCAATAAA